GATCTGTACAAATCCGACTTGGGCCTCTCGACGGAGGATCGTCAGCGTTTGGTGAACAACGTGAACATAATTATTCACAACGCGTCGGTGGTGTACTTCGAGGCGAAGGTGTCTCTTATTTTGCGAACCAACGTGCTCGGAACGCAGAAGATGCTCGAACTAGCGGCTGAATGCCCGAGCTTGAACGCGTTCGTGTACGTGTCGACCGCATACTCTCATCATTACACAAATCCGATCGAAGAAAAATTTTACGCACCCCCGGGCGATTTAAAGATGGTCGAGGACATCATACGAGCCGACGAGGAGAACGCTGCCGGACTTTCGAAGGAAGCGCTTAACGATATAGTAGGGAAATGGTTGAACCAGTACGCGTTCAGCAAAGCCGTCGCGGAGGGTATAGTCGAAGACTTTGCTAGGCGAAGATCGCTCCCGTGCTTGATCTACAGGCCTTCTATAAGTACGGGTTCATCATGAACTTTTAAAACAGCTCATAATCATCTCGTATCATTATTACACATTTGCACGTTCAGGTATTGTCCCTGTATAAGTACAGGTAACCCTCCTATAACACGGTAGATAGGTTCCTAGAAAATGCCGTGATTTAAATATTCGCACTCCCACGAAGTTCGTATCAAATGGAGAACTCGGCAAACTATATTCTCGATCCACTTTGTACACGACGAAAAATGGTCTTCTTTATGCCCATTTTATAAAAAAATAAGGTGTGCGACATCGGGCGAATGGACCTTTCCAGACTCGGATGATGATCCAGAGCCTCTGGCGCCCGAGATTGCCACTCGTGCTCAAACATCAACCTCGTCCGGAAAGACCCATTTTCGGCCCTTAGTGCGCAATATACTATTGTCGTCCCGTCTATCTGATATCGGGTACGAACGTTTTAAAACAATTACTATACCTCCCTTCACTGCGGAGATGGGTTCACACCCTTCTTAAAATATACAGATTTATGCTCCATCCCTGTATTCCTATATCCATAAAAAAATTCAGCCACTTAGCTAAAAGTGTTGATTTTAGAACTTTTTATTCCTATTAGGGCGATAAATTAATCCGATACCTAATTGCTTCATTTTGTAATAAATTATTCTTCGATCTAACATCCACTGTCACTGTCTTAACAATGTCTCGGGAAAAGCGAGAGCATTAGGTATTAATTATAGAAATAAATTGGAATGCGTGTTCGTAATACTTTTATAATCCATTTATTGCGATATCAATAACAGAGATTAGAATTAACTACAAATTATCTTAAAAAGGAAGAAAAAGACAACCATGGAGATAATAGTAACCGTGATGTAGTGAAGAATTTTCAATTTTCGATACCTCTTCTTCGCATACGGAAGTGAGTCCATCGTATCGTTTATGGAGTACCGGAGGCATTCTATCCCTGCGAAGGTTGCATCATGCCAGTCTAACTGTTTCATGTCAAATAAAAATTCCTCTTCATCGGTAGTATTCAAACGATTTATCACGGTCTTCAGTTTATCCGTTTTTATGATCCAAGATGTACTTATGAAGTAATGCAGTATAAAAACCTGCTTGGTCGCCTTGTATGCAAGTTTCAACGCCCTGTGCAAAAAAATACACAGTCGTTAATCACGGCTAATAGCTGTCTCTATATTTATTAAGAAACTTACATTGGCTTCTTTCGCTGAATCATTAGAACCATATCAGCAATAATTGCAGGGAATACGTGGAGAAACACGTGAAGCAGAAGAAAGAGATAAATATTCGGAATATCTGATTTTCGTCAGTATTTAATAAGAAGGATTTGAATGAACCCCTTTCTTGGTCGCGAAGGCGACGCGTTTTATGGGATGAGAGGATCCCGTTGAATGCTCGGAACCAGGTTCCGTCGGAGTTTCCCGTGCAGGGAAACGTCCAGACGTTCAGAACGTCTGTTTGGGAAGACAGAATCCCTGATCGCGAGTGTGATCCGATTTGTGGGAAGACAGAGTTCCCCTGTGGTGGATGCGGCGTAAGAATGTTTCGCGATCACAACACTTCACGGTAGATCGATATATTAATATAAAACAAAACGACACTACTGCGTTACT